TCCTGCCATCAGTATTCCGGGGCAATCAGTATTCTGAACAGCTTTCCAGGTCGGCCGGACGCTGATCCATCAAACCCCGGCACTGTGTCGCTTTGTATCTACGGCAACCTTCAGCGTTAAAGAGGAGCACCGACAGTCCTCTGTCACCGGGGAATTCACTGTGTGTGCTTGTGTGTGTCTTTCTATGTGTGCGTGTGTTCACATTCATAGGCATTCTCTGACAAACAATCATCCAAGCACACACACACACGCCCACATCCACCAAATAATTTATATCTTAATGGTTGATGTTGCCGTTTCATCCAGACACTTCACGTTCCCCAGCTCCCCTCCAATCACAAAAAAAACGTGTGTGTGTGTGTGCATTTGTCTGTAGCAGCTATCTTAGCTTGTCTCTTTGATCAGCCTATAAAAGCACTGAGGCGTGGACAGATAGCCTGGACCAACACACTATCGCTCCTTCACTCCCTCTGAGCCTCTCCTTCTCCCTCACACACATTAACCGTCATGAACACACACCCGACACACTCTGAAACACTTTCCCGTGGGTAGCTGCATCTCTCCCATCACCCGGTGGCTATGAGGAGTATTGTGCTGCCTCCTCAGCTTTATCTACCAGGAGTGGTGAATACATCCATTTCAGTTTATCTGTTTTCCTCTTTATACTTGAGACTGTATTGTGTTGAAAGTTAATGTATAATCATACATAACAAAAAGTGAGTGTGTCACTTTGCAAAGTGATGGCAAATATTGATACCCAGTGGACAGCTGCTCTGTTACTGACTTTAAAACCATCACGCACTGAGAAATAATCTGTTTGCTTTCCACTGCAGTCACAACAACAGTAATTAGATTTACTGCGCTGCTTCAGTTTTTCACAAACATGGGAACTTGGGAAATGAAATTTTGACTTTATCACAATTTTGCACAACACAATAAGTATGTATTTCCTTCTCTCCATTCCTGTCCCTTTTCCACTCCACCCCCCTACTCTGTCTCTACTCTGTCTCTGTTTCTCCACCCTAGATCAGTATATTCATGACTCACCTGTCTAACTATGGCAACGATCGACTGGGTCTTTACACGTTCGTCCACCTTGCCTCCTTCCTTCGCTCATGGACAAACCTGAGACTGCACACACTCCCACCCCTACAGCTTGCACACAAGTACTTCCAGCTTTTTCCCGAACAAAGGAACCCACTCTGGCAGGTGTGTGTGCATGGGTATTTGCCCACATGTATGGGCTTGTGTGTTTTCTAACACTTGTCTGTACATTTTTACCATGCATTTCTGTGTAATTCTTATTTTGTAGATTCAAAAATAGTCAGGAAAAAACACATTGTGTGAGCTGTGTGATGTGGAAAGTGAGTCCCATTTTTCTTTAGTACTGTAAACATTATTATGATTTAATGAGAGTTTATTTTTTCACAATGGTAACTTTGTCTCAACCCAAAAAAAGGCAGGATGCACTATTTATCTTGTATTTACTCTAATTTATTATAGGAATTATTCTTGCCAGAGGTGTAGACAACAACAAGGGGATTTGATTTTAAAAAGTTGCTTTTCCATTTTTTGGTCTTGTCTGTAGTATTGTCAAATATATATCCTGCACTCTTGTTCAGACATATATGAATTTGTGGTGTCTTCTAAGCACACAGGCTGGGAATATTTGTATGAATGACACAATAACAATAACTTCATTCATTCAGTGTAGTATATTATCCATGCAATGGATGTATGGGCACGTATGTTTTTGTATGCATCACATGTATATAATTACTTCAACCCCTAATCCTTTGTCTGTGTAGAACCCGTGCGATGACAAACGGCATAAAGACATCTGGTCTAAAGAGAAAACCTGCGATAGGTTACCCAAGTTCATGGTCATAGGACCACAGAAAACAGGTAAGCCTTGCGCAAATACACACTCATCCAACACGTGCAACAAAGAAACTCCTTCTGTGTGCTCAGGTGTCTAGATCCTCAACATCAGAGCCCATTCATTTAATCCCCTTTGCTCCTTTGGTCCTGTCAGAGGGAGACAAAGGAGGAGGCTCTTACCTCCTTTCTTCCACCCACATTCTATCTACTTTAGATGCATAGAGATACAGTACTGAGCTACCATCCGCTCTGTCTTGTCTTACTATGTCTCTGTCAAAGGGACAAAAAGAAGAGGATATTATAAAAAAAATCTGTACATGGGGCGCCCAAGATAGCTCACCTAGTAGAACTGGTGCCCCATGTACCGAGGCTGAGTCCTTTGCTGCATGTCCCATTCTGTCACTCTTCAGTTGTCACTATTATTAAAGGCAATAACCCCCCCCCCCCCGAAAAAATTAAAATAAATAAGAAATACAAAATAATAATAATAACAATAATCTCTAACACTACATGGATCCATAGTGTTGCCTTTGTGTGATTTTAGGAATTCTAATTGCTGGTGTTTGGTGTGAGAGGTGAGGAGGTCTGGTAATGCTGCTAATTAACCTGGTGATAAATTTCTAAATGGAAGGAAGGGTCACTATAGCAACATTGGCAGCCAAACAACAACTACGATACATTTTATTAATTTTATTGCGGGTTAAGCCTCACATGTCAGAGATGTTGGAGCAAACAGGAAACAGGAAACAGAGTGTCTGTTTGTTTGGTTTGTGTGTGTGTGGGGGGGGAGGGGGGGTAAACAGGATGTGTAGGAGTAAGGTTAAGGGGAACGGGTGAAAACAGAACTGCTGAGGGTGGACAGAGGGCACGACCAGACAGCCTGCTGATTGGTGTCAAATGGTTTTTGAATCATTTGATGGGGAGGCCTGTGATCTTTGCAGACAGACACACACAACACACACACACACACACACACACGGTGTATTCTCAGCAAGATATAAATCCTGCAGAGGAAAAAATCATCCAGTATGGATCAGTGGATGACAGCTCTCACACATACTGCCGCACACACACACACAAACTACCCTCTGCTGAGCTGAATTAACGAGCCCGTTATGAATTATGCCCTTTCTTCCAGGAACGACAGCACTTTATCTCTTCCTACTCATGCATCCCTCCATCTCCAGTAACTTCCCCAGTCCAAAGACTTATGAGGAGGTCCAGTTCTTCAACACCAATAACTACCACAAAGGAATTGACTGGTGAGAACACACACAAACACACACACTAACTTTCCTTCTCTCTCTGTTCATTTTTATTAGCCAGAACCTAAGGTCAAATGAAAGATTATAAACAACACTGTTATATTTTGCAAAGTTGTTTTAGACTACAATGTGTCTTGCAGTCTTCAGTGATACATTAAGCGGTTCAAACCAGTTCAACAACGTCTTCAAAATGATTTTTTAAGCCTGCACACATAAGCCAACAGACATATGGCTGCCTAAATTGACCCATAAATGGGTTATTTAGCTGGCAGAGACACAGCTGGTGCAGTCTTCGAAGTCATCCAGAAAAGACTTAACTCTGAAAAAATTCTTCATGAAACGCGTTCAAATTACATCATCGAGTTTATTTTAGGCTCATTGTCTAAGCACAGATTAAGGCCATAACTTGGTGACTTTAAAACTTGTATCTGACTTTGAAAAATGTGTAAAAAGTTAGCAGTGTACACTCAGGGGGGCTGAGTTTGCAGTAAAGCTGTGGAATGAGGAAACCTGTGTCATGTGTATTTTATATTTCTTCTAAATTTTCTGTGTCTGTTGCCTCAGGTACATGGACTTTTTCCCCGTACCCTCTAATGTTACCACAGACTTCCTGTTTGAGAAGAGCGCTAACTATTTCCCCTCTGAGGAGTCCCCACGGCGAGCTGCTGCCCTGCTGCCCAAAGCCAAGATCATCACCCTGCTCATCAACCCGTCTGACAGGGCCTACAGCTGGTATCAGGTACACAAACACACAGAATATATTAGGTGCTACTGACTACACATGTATTAGTTTTAATTCTCTACAGGGAGTAGATTGTTGTTATGGAATTATTATTCTATCCAAAATGGCGAGTGGATGCGAGTGTGGAGTTAAGGAGTCTGATTTATCTGTACGTCTCAATGTGAGAAATGTCACGAGACCCTGAAATCTTCTGTTTACGTCTGTTTGATTAATGAGACATGAATGTCAACAGCATGCCAGCTTAAATGTCAGGCCATTTTCCACAATAAAAACAGTCTCTCATACAGAGTATACACTTGATGTTTAAGCATGTACATCATGTGTGATGCTAAACCAGCTTAGAACTAGCTTAAGCTGGGCACCGGCACCCAAGTGGGTTTTAACAGGTTAAGAGGACAATAAGAGTGAGCTCTTTGAAGCTTATGTTTGCTGTGTCTGCTAACCTTCCCAGCATCAAAGAGCTCATGAGGACCACGCAGCCCTGCAGTTCACCTTCTATGATGTCATCAGTGCAAGACCGGGAGCACCAGCCGAGCTCCGCTCCCTGCAGAGTCGCTGTCTCATCCCCGGTCTATACTCAACGCACCTAGAGAGGTGGCTCACTTACTACCCTGCCAACCAGGTATGCACAGGCAGATACGGATACAGACAATTGCCCTCTATTGCACTATGTATATATATACACAATTGCAATACCCAACCCATGCATGTGTCATACAGTAGGACCACTGTGTAGGATTAAGTGGCATGTAGCGATATAGTTGCAGATTACAACATCCTTGCCTCACCCTCCCGTTTCAAGTGTGTAGGAGAAACTACTGTTGCCGGAAAACCATCAAAAAACACTAACTTCAAACAAATTCTACACTCTTTTACTCGGTGGACCTTTAAAGTCTCGCATTGACTTTGTAAGATGAGATTTGTTGTTTACAACTTTTGAAGAAAGGAAATGAAAGATTAGATTTATTTTTTAATTAACTGCCTTTAATGATGTTTATTGTGATCAGGGACATATTTTTGTGTTTAGATGTGAACTGTATAACACTTTGCACATTGCCTGTAGGCAATACACCATAAACAGAAAAAAATAACGTGATATATTACACATGCTGTCAGAGTTTTGTTTTCAACTTTTATTATATACTTTCATTAGTGGATCATGTTGCACTAAATAAGCTTTCCAGTGCTTTATACCCCACCTTAAATGAGTTGTAATGCTCTAACTAGTTAGTTAATAGTGCCCAGTGTTACAATATGAATGTATCTGTGTGTAGGTGATGATCATAGATGGCCATCAGCTGAGAACTGACCCTGCAGCCGTGATGGATGAAGTCCAGAAATTCCTGGGAGTCACTCCTCACTTTAACTACTCCCAGGCCCTTACGTAAGTCTCTCTTGCTTTCTCTCTTTAGTATCTTCTATTCCTCGTCCTGTGGTAAGGGGCACCTTTCACCTGTTGTGCACTGTGACAGAAATGTAAAGTACAGATTCAAGCTGTAATGAGACTCCACACCGAAATCTGTGTGAAGCCTGACATCTACTGGTGAACAGCAGGGTACTAAACTGCCCATTTCCTCTTTGCCTGTGTTCGGTGCCAGGTGGTGTCATTCTCTGAAAAATACAACAGACCAAAGATTAGCCAATAGCAGATGGTCAGTTCAGTGCTTGCTTTAAGCCATTGTATGCCTGTCTTTGAACAGTTTGGGCTATTGTCAGTATTTGAAGGAAAGACAAAAAAGTAGTATGTGGTCGCAACAGAGAGGGTGGGAGAGGATAAGATGATGCTGAGACAAAAAAGAGAGATGAAACAGAAATGAATAAATGGTGGAGGCATTCATCTCACTTCACATTTAAGTACAGAAGACATAAATTATGGCAAACTAACAAAACAAGACAGTGAAAATGTATTAGTGTCAAGAAGAAATTACTTGATAAGCCTTATTTATTCTGACATTATTACATTGCTTATATAATATTGCATATACAGCTTAATATAAGTTCATGAATACTATTTCTATTACATAATAAACACATTAATTTGTTATCGCAATAACAATGCCTGCTCTTGCCAAAAGACAGTCAAGTGGTGAAGTCTCAGCCCCCTGAGCTGCTGGCGTAGGATCAAATCCCAACAGAGCGTTAACTGTCTCACTTACACTGCCTGCCTGTCTGTGTTAATGCCTGTCTGAATAAATAAAAATACAAAAGGTTAGTGAACTGCAGTGTCAATCCAAAAGAACTAAAACAGCAAAGACACCATTGCCAGTAACATGATAAATAACTAATGCAACTTCTGTGAACTAAACATTTTCTTTGATTTAAAAAAGGGCATGTGCAGAAGGGAGAAATAATGTGTTTGATTGTTAAAGTGGTGTATGATGTTTGCAGCCACAAATACAGCATATCCTGTCAATATACTAAAATGTACCTAAAAGAAGTCATGTGGAAATACAGTTCCTTTAAATATTGGGCAGCTGTAACTGAATTGAGGCCCATTCTGCTGTTGTTAATGTATATATTCTGCAATACAGAAGTAATATACTGTACAACCAATGTATTCAGATTTTAATGTGTCTAATATGTTGAAAGGGGTGCAATAAATATGCAGGTCCACAAAATTCTCTCGAGTTCGAGTACATGGTACACATATACACACATAGTACGAGACGGCATTGACACTCTGTTTCTAACTCATTCTCCATTAGAGAGTTTGCATGTGAGTTTGAGAGGAGTGGTAAAATGTTTATTTCTCAAGTGCCACTCATCAGAATGCAATCTGCCTTCAAGCCCTCAAATCTCCAGACAGAGACATCCAGAATTTGTAACTCAGATTGGGACAGAAAGTGTCTCTGTCTTGAATCACAAGCCCGCATGCATACAAATAATTTGTAAAGAGATGCATTTTGACAGACTAATAAGGAGGCTGTGTGTGTGTGTGTG